AAAAAAAAAAATCAAGTTTCCTTTTTTTTCATTGTATTTCCATCATACTAGCCTAAGGACTCAGACTAGTTGAGACAAAATGAGTTAATTTGGCAGATATTCGACCAATTTACAGTCATAGCATCTTTCAGATCAGAGGCATTAAGGACAATAATTCAAGGTTTCTTTAGAGCAAAACAGGTTCTGCAGAGCTTTCATTGGAGATGCTTTGGAAGCAGTCCCACTTGGCTTTCAAAATGAATTTGTAGGCATCAAAATGAGACAATGTCTAAAGGAAGCACATGTAATGCAACAGTTACTGATGAACAACCCGAAACCCTAACAAGACTATTTTCAATGCAAATGTTTCTAAACCTAGAATGCAGTTTAGCCACAGCATTGACATTTAAATGGAAACAGGGCACAATTCAGTAAGGGTAAATCTGAACGTTTGTGCCAATTCCTTTTTATCAGACATTATCTTTCTTTGTCAATGTTCTACGTATGTAGCAAAATATATACACATATATGTATGTATTTCCAGCTAAATATTGAAGTCTGAATTATTCCATCAAAATGATCATCTTTGATTTCTCTCTTCTTTCATTCTCAGTACACAAAGAACTCAGCCATTACTGACTTAGCTGCTTTACTGTAAATTATTTGTTGGGCAAGGCTTACTGTATATTCTTACCATAAGAATGAACAACTTGGTCATGAGTCAGAAGAGCTTAAACCACCATGAACAGAAAAGCTGATGAGAGGTTCTAAAGGATGCAAATACAATATTGGAAATATTAGCTCAGGACTTGAAAGCTGGTCTACCCTGACAACACTACTTCCAGTTTAGGACCTGTAATTCATTCATACACCTCCACACCTGTCAGCACCACATTACCCAAAGGAATGATGTCCCCTTTACGTTAGGAATACCGCGCTTTGTTAGAAATGTACCAACAGCCTCAATTAAAGGGAGTTTTCTGTTTAAATATCCATCTTCTAGTGGGTCACAGAACTGCCTCACCATATGGCTTCTCATTATTTTTAATGACGTATAAGATGCAGTATATGCTACTAAAAGAAACTCGAGAAAAGCATAGATGATGAAAAGAAAGACATATGGAGAAAACACAAGCAGAAAAGCTTGAGAAAATAAAAATCTAAAATAACAACACATTCCTATGCAAAATCAAGAGCTCACAATAACCTTGTGGGCACTAGAAGTCTCACGGTACCATTGCCTAGTTGTGCATGCTCATTTTGAGAGGTAAAAGTGTTCACAGCATAATGCTGAAGACATACATGTCCCTTCATCTTTAAATCACACAAAACACAAGGATTTACAGTGCATAAAACCCATTCTGAATAGGCTGCTAAATTGGTACTAAAAGTCAAATATATCAGCTGCCTGGGGAGCTGGACAGCAGCCAAGCATCCCAAGTTCAAAATATACAGGATCCCTATTCGTTCTTCCTCATAACATAAATGATTACAGCTACTGTAACTGAAAGATACTCTTAAAGCATCTTCCATAACGTTTGCTCTGCCCAATTATTTAAGCTGATTCTCACTTTAGCAAACAGGGATAATACTCAACAGAGCAAAGTACAGCAAAATATTCTGGACTGAAAAGTTGAAGTACAAAATATTCAGTGTACTTACAAGACAAAAGGCACAGTAAGTGCCAGGACTACTGAAATACCTGTTTTGAGCCCCTGCAGAAATTTGACAGGATTTCTGAGCGTTCATAGCAAGAATATGACACAGATTCCCAATTTTCACTTTTTCTAGTTAACTGTGAGTACTGTTAAATTTGCCCTTTGCTGTGGTCAACTCAGCATCAGACCACACGAAAACACAACTCAAGCAAAATTATTTGAAAGAGTAATATATGTTCACCAATTATTACAAGTTTAAGCCACATTTCTGGAAGATGAACCACTCATTTCATGCAAACATCACCTCTGAATTCTATCTTTGTTTCCCAGTCTCTGATTTAAGATAGACTAATTAGTGCATTTTCCAAGCATGGCATCTCCATTGTATAAATACGAAGCATTCGGTTATTTTAGAAGTTTAAAGAAAAAAATAAAGACTAATATATAGAATAATCCCAACGTGTCTTTGGCTTCTATAAGAACTCTACAGTATGTTGGTCAAAACAGTAACTTGGATGTGGTTTTCCAGAAGAGTATTAAGAAGAGTTGTCATGGCCTGCATCACAATTGTTTCCATCAACATATTGCAGACAAATAGAAAATGATGAGATTCATTCATTAAGCCTTTGCTTAGATGAGAAAATAACTTTACTTGCAAGTCTGCCTTATCAACTGCTTATTTAAAGATCTGGCAAATCTCAAATTGGCTGTTACAGAGTTACAGGGTTTGATCTACTATAAACTGCTGTAACAGATAAATATGTACAGCAAGCCAAAATACTAAAACAAAAACCTCCACGAAACTCAAAAAGGCCCAATAAATAAGCAGCCACAATCTCCTTTTCTTTTAAAAACAAACGTAAATCTTGCAGTGGTTATTGCTAAAGATTCGAGTACTTTGAACATGGTAATAAATGCAGTACAGATCATCATTTCAGCTGCAATTCTAAACAGTAAAAAAGGTTGTCCTGGTCACAGATGAACTATCATTTTTTTTCCAGTTCTTCAGCCTAATCACCTCATAGGTAAGGACAGAATGCAGAAGTATTCACTACAGCAAAGACACCAAACAAAATTTCTAACCTTCGATACCTTACAGCTAAATCCATCTTTAGTTACTAAAATAAACATCTGGACCTACCAATAGATTGGTCACTTGTATTACTTCTCCACAAAAATCTGAGCCTTTAAGCTACTCTGTAGTCTCTCTCTTTGGTTCCCAGGAGACTGCCTATTAACTTCTACTTTCAGGGCATGTTTTCCATATCATAGACTGAGGAGCCAGAAATACATCAACCTGATTTTGTCCAGTTGTAGTCTTTTTGGAAGGCTGAAGACACCCAATAAAAAAGTAGTATTGAACCATTTGCTTTAACTAGCTAATGTACCACATTCACTCCTGAGAAACAGCACAAACATAAGTATTCATCAGGTTACTATTCTATGTTGAGCTATATCCACACTAAGCTAATGAAACGGGTCATATACGGTACCACCCGTTCCCAAGGTTTTGCAGTTATGTTTATGAAAGGTTAACAGCAGGCACTAATACAAGTATCATGACTCTTTTCAGGCAGTAGGTGAAACCTTGAAGAAAAAGTGGCTCTGTCTTCAAAAAAGTGACCTGACCTTTGCTTTGGTGGGTTTTTTACTCTGCAAGAAATAAAAAGCACTGCATGCTTTCCAATGCATCCTTTCTACCTGATAACTGTTTTGGTCTATCACTCAGCACAAAAGGACTAAGTGTTATAAAAATCAAGTAGCATGGTAATAGTGCTAAAGATTGCTCCACATGTCATTCAATAACGGAGCTTCATAGACCTGAAATGCATCATATGAGTCATGTACAGAATAAATACATAATTGGCCAAGAACCTTTGATATGCTTAGTAATTAGAAGTAATTTTCATTGATTTAAGTATATTTAAATTAAATTTACCATGACCTTGCAGTTCTTTGGATATCAAAGGCACCATTACTCCAGCATGCTTATAACTTACACACTTTTGCTCCGTGAATTTCTTGCAGCATGCAAAGAACTCTCTTTAGGGTAGCAGGTTATGTTGCACAAGCAAGGAAACCTATTAAGGATCTGTCAATTAATAAAATCTCTTCTAAAAAACACAACAGTATGTTAAGTTCTTACATGCAATAGATGAAATGTTTCTGAAAAACCTTATAGTCATATAGTTCAGCATAAAGAAGTTGTTGTGTTTGTTGTTTTTTTTTTTATATTGGACACTGAATACTTCGCTAGAGGAAGTAGTTCCGTTATATGCTATGGTAGTAAAGAACCCCTTCTGTTAATAAACATTTAAATATATTCAAGTGTAGTGGAAAATGCTGCTTTTATGGAGTCAGATCCTGCAGTCTTCGCACAGCTAAAACCTCTACTGAAATCAATGGGAGCTTTACAAGTACAACAGTGAGGATGTGCCTGGGGTCACCAGCATAGCACGGTTCTGCTGCTATGCTCAGTGCATGATCAGGCATCCTCTGCCACTTCAAAAGTAATAGAAATGAAAATACAGATACACAAATTCAGAAGATAAATACCCTTTTAAAGCAAAGAGTTCAGCTACAAAGTGTGTGGCAGATAACATTAAGGCATTTTGTGCTTGGTTAAAATATTAAATTAGATGTGAATATATGTTTTTGACTCTTTTGATTCAAAAAAGAATGTATCTGAAATGCATTTTAAGAAAAATTTCTAATAAATTACATCAAGTTCAATGATTTTTTGGAAGATGCATAGCACTATGACAGCAGAATTTGGCTCCATATATTGTTAGCAAAAACACAGAGTTTATATCATGTAAGCTGCTTTTTAAAATATTGCTAGAGTTATTAAAAGCTTTGGGCCCAGCCCTATAGGTTACTTCCAAATTTAAGTGAGAGTTTGCCTCAGTGAAACACAAAGATCTGTTCCTCATTTGCAACATCAGCCTTATCCAATGTTTTAGTGGTAAACAGGTGTTCTGTGGTAACCAAAATTAAATCGAGGAGCTGATCACACAGCCCTTAGTCATTCGGACACCTACCCTGCAAAACAGCCCAATCCTTCAAATTGGCCTGGATTACTCTGGCCAGCCTGGCTGCAGCAAGGCAGCAGGAAATACTTCTGTTGACTTCAGTGGGGCAACTCTAACAAATAACAAGACTATGGCTAGACACCATGACGCTAACTTAGAGGCTCACTGCTGATTTATTGTTCTTTTTGAACAGTGTGCGTTCCACGTCGACCCAGACCCTGCCTCCTGCAGTACGCGCCGTCTCGTGTCGCGTCGCGCGGGTGCCGCTCGGGCTGCTGCTGACTCGCCCTTGTTGGTTTCCCTGTTGTAGGGGAAAGGCTCTAGGGCGGCAGATAAGGCTGTTGCTATGGTGATGAAGGAGATTCCGAGGGATGAGGCTGCAGAGGAAAAGCCCCTCCTCACTATGGCGTCACAGGTGGGCGCAGCGCGGGGCTCAGAGCACGCGGCCCCGGCCGGCAGAGCGGGGACGTGCATTGCGGCAGCGTGGGGGAGCTGCTCGGGGTCAATAGCTTGGGGTTGAGACATTCTCACGTGAAAGTTAAACAAAAACATTTTTTTCCCCGTTTGATAAAAAGATTCTTAGAAATTTCAGCAAGTTGTCTAAACCTGATTCAAAATACCAATTTTGAATTGAGCCAGCAATCACGCAACCTATACTTGTTCCATATTCAGCACATACGCAGAGGAAGAATCACTCCACAGTAGTATTTGAGATATTTCAGTCATCCCTAGGCTCCCAGTGGTCCAAGGCAGATTATTCACTCTGTACATCCTGCTTCCAATCCCACAAGCCCAGTCGCTGGAAAGACATAACTGCAGTGCACAGAGCCCCATGTGTTAAGGTGCCACCAAGCACCAGGTGGACCCCTTATGGACCCCTTACCTGATGGAAGTCAGTGGCTGCAACACTGCCACACAGCACAGCACTTCCATCTCACTCCAACAGTGACTCCATTCCCTCGCGGTGTCCACATCCGTGAATGTACTGAACACCCAACGCTGCACTTCTGCTCTAACTCTATGAACTGACAGCCCAAAGGAAAAGGTTGCTCTCTTCAGTGCGCCATTTCTAATTTTGCCCTTAATTGTTGATGAACAATTAGAAACTAACACAAAATGCTGCCCCTTCCTTCCTAAGCACAAAATTTTCATTTGCTTCAACAATGTTTAACGTTGAACGTTTATGCACCATTTGTACCAGTTGTCTGTCAGTCTACTCAGCAATTGTGTGATACATTTATGAGTGAAATGTATGTCTGTTAGTGTAATTTCTTCCACTAAATGCAAATTCCAACTTCCCTGCTATGCACCAAAGGGGTGCAGAAGCCAAAAGGAAGCAGAATCAAGTGAAAAAGTGAGTATTTTCCATAGCCATCTCTGCATCATGCCCATGTGACGTACAGCTCCACGACCATGTCGCATACATCATTTATACCCTAACTGTCTGGATGCCATCTTGTTTTGAAACGCTGTCTCTTTAGTGTGCCTGTGTAAACCTCTTGTTCAGACCATTCATTCAGAGTTACACACTGGTATATTGTGGAACAAATTTAACCATCACCATCAGTGTTCATCTGGGCTCTCCACATGATGAAACAGATACGGTTGCCACACACAGTGGGAAATGTGCAAGTTCCAAATTGGCTGCAAACAGAATTCCCAAGCCAGACTAAATTAGGTCATGAAAATAAGGCCTGGTATTTCGAAAGTGATCAACACCACTGAACCCAGTAGTGGCGTGTGTGTAGATATATTTCTCTCTCAGGAATTTCATTACATATTGCCCTGCTTCACCTCTCAGAGTACAGCTAGCTAAGCAACAAAATCTGTCAGCAGAATGCTAGGATTGAGCCCAGGTAGAAGAGTATTTGCTTTTAGAGAAGTAGATTTCCTAAAATCTTCAATGAATGGAGAACTAACCATGTCTGTCTATAAAAGCAGACCACCAAAGCAGCATAGGGGGAATCTCAGAGGAGATTCCCAAAGAGGAATTCCACAAAGACGGGATGCCAAATCCTTGTTTAACTGAGAAACAGTGATAATATAGAGAAGTCCTTGAAATCTTACGTTTTCCTCTCTTCCTCTAAAGAAGATTAAAACCATATATCCAACAGAGAACAGTTCAGGTACGCTCACATTTTATTAGCTCCTACCTAAGCCCTGTTTGTAAAATAACCTTATTTGTTGATGAGTACTCAGCATGAATTAAATTTTGACAAAGTTTCCAACTCGGAATTTATTTTATATCAGATCTCAAGGCAAATCTTCAAATAAACTGAGAAAGTACTACAGATTCCTGTGGGGCTGTTCTGATGCATGGCAACAAGGAATCTGAACAATCATTCCAGCATTAATGAATCTACTACAGTAAGCAGAGGGGTATTCTTGGTAATTGAATATGCCTTTCAGCACCTATTTTCTGTGATTCTATCCCAATTATTTTCAATGAAAGTCACTTTATTGGTAAGAAAAGGCATTCAGTAGTTGCCAGAGTTCATACTTTCAAGCATCAAGAGAGCTTTCTACACTAAAGGGATTTTGTAGAATATAACTCCATAGTAAGTCGCTGTCTATCTTTTAAAGATAATTCAGAAGAGACTGGAACAAATGAAAAGAGGCACTTTTGGCATGAATAAATCTAGACAAAAACGAAAGCAAGTTTGCTGAAAGTTCAGAAACTAATGGAAAGTGAAGCTGTGAACAAACATACATACTGCTAATCGAAGCTAGGATAGAAATTATGCATAATTTTCTTATTTATAAGACAAATATGAGAAAATTGTGCATAGAAGTTTGATTTCAATTCTCAAATGTTTTTGTTGAAGCTCTCCACAACATTTTTGGCAGGAGAAAAAAAAGCACACTTAAAAATTATTTCCTAATAACTTTCTAATGAGAAGTTTAAACCTTAATAGTCCCAGGTATCAAAGTTTGATGGTACAGTCCACTATGAATTCCCCATTTGCTACAGGTCAGCGAGCTTCAAAGGAGCTGATTCAATAAAGTACTTTGATCCACATTTAAACTTCAAAATACGATAAATTGCTTTATAGAACAGTAAAAAGTGTATGATATAATGCACTACCAGCCTGATTTTAAACAAGTTAATCTCAAAGTGTCACGAGTTATTTGTTGCATATTCATCAAACCTAATTCAGATTCTTCAACAGAACTCAAATTGGAAAGCTACTGGTAGTAGGAGCCCTTTTAAGGTGATAGAAGGAAATAAGACCTGCAGAAGGGGATTCATGTCCAAGATGATCCTGAGGCAGATACACTGTTATTACATAGTAGACTGGGAGTCCATGAAACATTCTCCAACAGGAAAAAGAAATACCAATTCTGTATCGAAAGCTATCCCAACTTCTGTTTATAACTGAAAAAAAGGGAGAATCATGGAGTCACCAAGGTTGGAGACGGCCTCCAAGATCATCCAGTCCAACTGCCCACCTACCAGCAATCCACTGAGCCACATCTCTTAGTACAACATCTAACTGTTTCTTGAAGACCTCTGGGGATGGTGACTCCACCACCTCCCTGCGCAGCCCGTGCCAGTGCCAAACAACTCTTTCAGAGAAGGAACTTGTAGGAGAGGAGAAGAGCTGTCTGCTTACTGCACAGACATTGCTCGGAATAAAACCTTGGTATTGACCACTTATGATTTAAGAACTTAATGTACAGAATGCTTCATTTTAGAATTTGAACTCAAAAGTGGAAGTTTAAAGAGCTGAAGTTGCATTATTAGCATAAAACATGCTGAAGTTCAGTGTGCCCCATAAAAAGTGTAGGCTACGACACAAATATTCCACAGGGAGATCTTTTGTGACTACAGGCCTATTAATTACATCAGAAACATAAGGTTCTTTTTAAATTTTGTTTATTCTTAGAATCAACATATTTGTTCTTATCCATATTAGAAGGAACATTTTTTGAAAGTGAACTTCAACCTCCATGCCATTGGTGGACCAGGCACCTTTTCTTATAACTAAAGATACTCAAATATTTCCAGTACCTACATTCCAGTTGTTTTTGTGTGTTTTCTTGTTGTGTTTGCTTGGCTGCTTTCTTGTTTGTTTTCCTTAAATCTAATATGTAAACTGATGAATTCTATAGAGGATACAGAATAGAGATACATACTCTCTTAGTAGTAAATTAAGGCATGTATCAAGAGCTCACTATATGAAATTGCATAACAGTTTTCCATATAGAAGTTAACAGTCCTATCTATTCAGAATCAATCACATTTATGCTAAGCCTCTTAGCATTAGACTTGCACTGAATGACAGTAAATGTTTCCTAAATAACATCAGAACAGAAGGGCAGGGAGTTGAAGTGAATGTAATGAGTTTCTCTGCAACATTTCTCAAGTAGAAGTAACTTCATTTTAATTCATATACATTAGTGTAAAAAAAAAAAAAAAATCCCAATTTCAGGAAATTTCAATAACTCTGGATAATAATAGTTCCTACCTGCCTTCTGAGAACAGTGGCAATTTCTTCAATGATTTCAGGGGAACTTGATCTGTAATCATATTTCTGTATTCCTTTTACAGGATTAAAGATAAACTAATTAGCAGTGTTTTCTGTACATCTCAAACCAGTCTAGATTAATCTATTATTAATAATAATATGAGCACAATAAAGTACAAAGCATGTAAATGCATGCTTAGCAGTACAAATATTAATTAAATCTTTACCTCCAAGTTAAACATTGCTTAACACTTTGCTTCTAGGGCAGTATGTATAATTTCAGTGGAAATATTCTCATGAGCATAGTAAAGAAAGTTGCCTTGACAGTATGCTTAAGAGTCATAAACTGGCTGCTTGCCTGAAGTTATCCAAGCTTCTCTGTCACAAATTAAATACATTTTTCCATGAAATAAGTTTTACCATGGGAATTTGTAGTGTAATTTTTTCATAAAACAAAGTTTATTATACTGTTTAGTTTTTTAAAGTGTGCAGCAACTCCATAAGCACAGAAAACTGGACAAAATTGTTTGTAAATAATGCATTACGCTCATTTAGCCTTGCTTTTTCATATCAGTTTTTATGAATAGGAATTAATTTTCATAAATTTGTTGATTCTTCATGAACACTGTGAGTAAAAATATCCTTTTAAAGAACTGCAAACCACATACTTACAAGTGTTCTGTATGCAATTAATTTGTTATTTGGGCAATGAAATTGTTATATTGCACTGAAAGTTGAAAAAAGTCACAAGCACCTTTCAAGTTGCAAGCATTTCAGTTTGCAAATAAAACCACTTCAAAGCAAATACATGCCATGTATTCATGACATATGGACAGCCATGGCAAGTGGACAACCAGGATAATGTAGGAGGAAACGAGGATTCGATTCCTATGCCTGCCCATGGTAATGCATACAGAAACACAGATTCTACGTACGCTACAGAATG